GACATGCCGGCTGGGGACGCTGGGAGGTGGGTCAGGCCTGCAGCTGTAGTAAAGTTTCCAAGTACGTGCGGTAACGTTGCAGTAACACGTCATGTAACATGGCCGCACGCCGAATTTGGTGTGGGTGGCCTGCTGGGTTTCTCCCGAACAGTCCTTGGGGTCGGTTCCCGGAGGCAGCAGTCGGGTGTGCAGTCGGCATGCGGTGCAGCAAGGCGAGGGGCCGGCAGTGACCCGCGGCGGAGGGTTGTGTTGTACCAGGGAGGGTATTGCCGGGCGTGCGTTGGAATGAGAGGTGGAGATTGGGCAGTTTCCGATGCTGCAGTGCGTGAAGGTGCGCTGTCCTGTCATTCTTGTAACGTGTCATATCACGTAAAGCTCAGAAGGGGTAAACTGAGCAAGAGAAGGTGGTGGGTGGTCAGTGTAGTGTGCTGATGGTTGCAAACGTAACGAGACTGAAAATTTCCTGTGCAGAACGCGGCCACTTACGCAGAAGTACTAGTTGCCTCGTCAAGAGGATGTAGTTAATAGGGGAAAATACCAATGAAAAAGTACTTAGCAGAAGAGAAATAAGAGCTGAGATGACTGACGCTAGCTTTAGAGGCAGCAAGAAATGTTTCCTGGGAAGCAGTAAGGATTAGTGGTCCTTGTCAGTCTCCAGCTAACTGAATATTAGTCCGCTCTGGGTTATTTGCTGACTTTCTGCTTACCTATTTTCTTATGCTGTCATGGCTCCTTGTTCAAATGTAGGCATTCTTCAGCTTCTCCTTGTAGGCCTCAGCTAGTTGGTTTTTTGTAGTCTAGTAAGAAGTATAATTGAGGTTCTGTCACTCTTGTCCCCTGCAGGTGCTTAACAGGTTTTAATTTACTGAAAAATCTTAAGCAAGTTTCTATGCATAGTTTCTCAGAGGCTTTATAACTTACCAAAATCTGGGTTGTTCTGTGTGTGAATAGAAGGGGGGGGGGGCAGCAAATCCATAGCAGAAAAAAAACTGGTTCTTGTTTCTACTGAGAACTTAGTGAGCAATTAGTGTACTACATACAACCTTTTCAGGAAACCTTAATTCTTTTCAGGGAAATGTGTATGTTTCCTTCTAGGTTTCAGGGTTTTAAGAAATGGGCCGAAGTATTCTCTTCCAGCTTTTTTTTTTCCTCACGACAGATAGCACCATCCTTTGTACACAGCATGCCCCCAAAAGTGGTGTCATGAAAGCAACATTTCAGCCAAATGGTCATGCAGTATCCTGGATAACTCAAAACGAGGTTTTGCAACATATTACTGATTGGTCTAGGGAAAATAAAAGGTTTTTCAAGCTGCTGTGGGAACTTTTGTGCTGTAGCCATGAGATTTGTTTTTTTTGTTCTACCGGGAAATATTGCATAAAAGATTAAGGAGTTCATATTACTTACTTAAACTCACTGGTTTCTCTTTTTAGATTCATCTGCATTTATCCAGCATATTTGAATAACAAGAAGACAATAGCAGAAGGAAGAAGGATACCTATAGACAAAGTAATTTTGTGTGTGACAGGGAAATATGATGTTTTGTTATGCTATGCAGTAGTGTGTAGAGAGCTGGAAAATAAATCTCAAAGCTGTTGATCTTTTCTATCCCCCATGGCAAGTAGCTCAGTAACTGGAAATTACAGTGTATTTGAAGATAACCTAGTGTCAGCATATGAATTTGATAGAAGAGCACTGGGTTTAAGTGTCTACTTTCATGTGAGCAGCACCTTTGGCAAGCAGGTGAAATAATGAGAAACTTAATGCAGTCAACCACTTACATAAGTAGTTTGCCAAATTTAAAAGCAATGCAGAAAAGAATAGCTAGCTAATGATTGGTTTTTGGTGACTGACTATATATGCCTATATTCAGTGCCCTGTCCCCTTTGCTGCTGTCAAAGATAGAACTTACAATGCATGTGACACATAGACTTGGTTGTTGTTGTTTTTAATCGTTCAGAAGTAGATTTTGATCATCTCACTCATAATATTTTTAACAAGGACTGCTGGGAATATAAAGGGCTTTTCTCACTGCTTAGGGATGGGTGTCTATGCTTTTCTCCTTCAGTCCTTGCTGTAAGTTTGCTGTTGCTGATTCGTGGCTTTTTGGTGGGGTTTTTTTGTAAATATAGTAGTTGCTACTTCATTTCAGTTACTTTTCCTAAGCAGTTATTTTACTTGCTCCTCTGTCCTAATTACTTCTGTCTCATCTGGTTCCTGCTTTACTGATGTCTTATGTCTTCTGGACTTTTTTTTAGTATTTTCCAGACTGTAGGAGCGCTCACAGATAACTACTGCAGTAGATTTGGCATTATTTGAAGTACCTTCTCTTTCCTCATCTGCTTTTTCTAGTTATAGAGTATAGCATGGGAAACTGCTAACTATTGCTGTATAGGTAGTTCATGATTGAAAAATAATTAACTGTAAGACATTGTTTCAACAGGCTGTTGAAAATCCCACATCTACAGAAATTCAGGATGTATGTGCAGCAGTTGGATTCAACGTGCTATTAGAGGTAATTAAAAAAAAAAAAAAACCCACGCAAAAAAACACCAAAACTTGGTATGTGTCTCTGTTCTCTCGTCTTATCTTTTCTAACAGACAGGATAAATTACAATTGGAAGGTTTTATTATCAGCCAAGATGTTTGCTTGCTTTGAGTAATAACTGACAATAATGATGAAGTAAATGTTGGAAGACTGTATGCACAGCATTTAGGAATAATCCAGGTGTCATGAGAAAACACCACTTTTAAGCTTATAAAAAGATTACTTTTGTTTAACTATCCTTCTGAGAAGACTATCTTAGATGCTTAAAAGTGTGTCAGAATAAAAGCTAATTTTGCAAGCTGCAACTGCAAATTATGCTTTTAAAAAGGCATATTTTTAATGAAAGTTTATTATGTTTTGGAATGAGTGTCCTATAGGAATAGGGTTCTGATGGCTGAAATCTTCAGTCCTTTGGAATTATGGTTTAGCCAGAGAATGTTATTTTTTTTTTACTGCGATACTTGCTTGCTTTTCACATAGTTTAAGCTTGTTACTTTTTTCTTGGGGAATGAGTCTGGGTTTCTAGAGAGGTAACTTTTTGTAATTTGTTTTCTGAAGTAATTATTAATTTAAAATACTGTTGAGTTTTCTAAGAAGAATTTAGGTCCTCATCTAAGAGTATGACTGGTATCCAAAAACCGGTACAAAATCATTTTTATTTTCAGAAGTCGAATACGTTCCTGTAAGCGCACAGCAGCCTGTGAAATAGCCAGTACCAGTAAGAAACCTGTAACACTTTGACAAAAATGAAAGCTATGAGTATCCAGAAGCAGTGGGCCTCAGACTGTGACCTATGACTTACTGTCTCTAGGTGTCCAGAAGGGTTTGTGGCTGTGGAGATAAAGCAAAAACCTGTGTCACTGTGGTCTAGACTGGTGGGGAAGTAGAACAGTCCCTGTAGCAGCAGGTTACTTGCTAAATTATTCAGTACCAGTAGCTGTTTGCAGCAGTGCTTCTGAAAATTTACGCTATAGCTTTGGATACTACTGCAATGGCTAAATGGTGGATGACACTGTTGGAGAGATATGGTTATGGCTTACATCTGTTCAGAATTCCAGGCTGCTATGACTTAAATCAATTGCCTGACAAATTTTGCAGAAAATTATTTGAGTTCTTATTATAATTTTCTCCTTTTGTATGACAGAAAAATAAGATGTATCCTAGAGAGTGGAACAGAGACATGCAGTACAGAGGTAGAGTACGAATCCAGCTCAAACAGGATGATGGCAACCCATGTTTACCTCAGTTTCCAACACGTGAGTAGGTTTAGGCACTTCATCTGTTAATAGAACAGAGAGACTTTACTCATTTTGTTAACACCTTCTTCCATTAGTTTTACTATTATACATTTTACAACTTTACATTAAATCTCTTTGCCTGTATAAGTCAATGAAATCAAGTTGGTGTGTGAGTGTTGAGTGGAATTTGTTAAAATGCTGTTGTCTTTGATCCTGCTGTTTCTTCAGTGGTTGGATTGGAGGGGATTGTGGGGAGTGTTCTGTGTATGTTGAATAAAGCAGCTATTCAGTTTTAGCCTACCGTTTTGTTGACAGTTAAAGCTGGATTTGGTATTAAAATGGCTAAATACCACCTTTTTCTTAGGTTACGTACATCAGCTAGGCATCAGTATGGATGCCAAATTGATAAAATACAATACTGAATTCAGTTGAGTTTTCTCTTGGCCATTTTCATAAGATAACAATGGAGCAGCTTCAACTAATTAATCAGAATAGTTCATCTTGAATGACAAGTAATTCAGTCTTTTGCATTTTTCCTGAAAATTAATCAGTGTGTAAAAGGGAAGCAAATATATATATGAAGAAGTATATATCTTAAGGAAAGAGCAAAAAGAATACTGAATCCAGAGTAATGTAAGAGTGGTGTTAGTCAGGAGGAGACAATTTAAAATCATATTCCTGATGGAAGTGCCTTTCTAAAAATGCTTGTAGCTTTTGCCTGGTCATTCTGTCCCAGGTATTTTAGGCCATTAAGAGGTGAAGTGAAGGAGTAACAGGAAGGATGTAGATACTTTGGAGATTGTCAGGTTATGTGCTGTTCCAGTCTGCTGTGAACAGTCCTGCACTTAAATTTATTTTTTTTAAAAAAAAAAAAAGGTTGAGAAGAGTTTTTTACAAACTTCTAGCTGCACAGGGGAAGTAGAACTACTAGGCTTTATATCTAGTTTAACAAATCTAAAGTGGGGCTGAAGTTTCTAACTTTGAAAATGATGCAAACTTTCTTAATATATTAGGCATGCATTGATCTCTCCCTGTATTTTTAGGTAAATCAGTGATGCTGTATGCTGCGGAAACAATTCCCAAACTGAAAACAAGAACACAAAAGATGGGAGGTAGCGATCAAAGTCTTCAGCAAGGAGAGGGAGGCAAGAAAGGTAAAGGGAAGAAAAAGAAATGAGCTCACGTCTGGAATAATTGTTACATCACATAGTTGTACTTATGACAAATGTGGATGGACAATTGCTGCAACTTTGATGTGAAAGATACAAACAAGAAATAAACAGGTGAAGCTGAATAGAACTGCCTGCTTTTCTTGGAACTGGAATGCATGTAGCTGCCTCACATCTGTGTAACAATAAATCTGTCTTCACACAAAACTTGCAAGTCTGAAGCTAGCATCCACTTCTAAAAGTGGAAGAACATAAGCAAACGGGGTGGGTGGGAGAAATATTCCTTCCAGAAGAAATATGCAGCTTTTGATAAATAAATACATAAATAAATATTCTTATGCAGACTAGATATCTGAAAACAGGTTGCCTTAGTAAACCATTTATCTATGCTAGTGAAGTGATTGTCTTAATTCCGGAGGGTCTTTGTTGCTAACAGAAAAATGTAAATTGATGACGTTAATGGCTCTGTAAACTTCCCTTGCTAATAATCTTTCACAACTGCCAAGTGTACTAATAAAGGTGACATGTTAATTACAAAAAATGTAATTTTATAGAATACTTTTTCCATAAGTGTTAAATTTTTCTTCCACAGTCTGTTGTAAAGAAGTCAGTGACATATATTGTAAGGATAATATTGTAAAGTTTTAAGATAATTTGGAAAAAAGAAAAAAAAAAAGCTCCCTTTTGTGTCTTGTATAATATGGCATACTATATTATCCTATTTTGGGTTGTTGTTTGCAAGCTTAGGAAATGTAGCTTTATTTTCTACCTGTCAAGTACTATCTCAGATGTCTGAGGCTTGCAATATCTGGTAACTTAAAATATGGGTTTTTTATGTAGTCCACAGACCGGGACAGGAAGTTATTTGGAGAAGATGAGTTGGTCAGAACAGCTGTCAAAGGCTCCTTCAAAGTATTTAAGAACTACACTGTGCAAGTTAAATGAGGGATACTGAAGTGTAAGGAGACTGAAAAAGAAACAGCAATATCTGTTTGGAGTTTAAAAACAAAAACTCTGCATGAGTTTTCTAATCCTTAGTATATGAAAACAAAGTCAGGTGAATGTTTTCATAGGTGACTACTGGGAGCAAGTGATCAGATTATTTCTGATAACTTTTTTATGTGGCAATATTCTTTTTTAGGATTTGTCTTGTTTATCTATCAGGTGTGCTATTCTATGGCATCACCTTTTTCTCATTTTAAACATAAATAGCATTCAAAATTTATCTAGACATTTAATGACTATTCTAAAGTAATGAAACTTAGTAAAGTTCTTGATCCCTGCTCAAGTTACTTGTGCTTGTAGTTTGGGTTTTCTTATGTTCTTATATTTCTTGTTCTGCTCAGCTGCATCTTTTTCAAATAGATGGTGAGTTACCAGTGCCCCTTGAAGTCACTGCCCGTAGGTACTGATAGTGCAACTGTGTAGAGCACCTGACTTGTGAATAGTTCAAAGTCGTTTGTATTTCTTGTCTGTAATACTCTGTAAGTGTGGTTCTTGTGTTGCGTTTTTTGACGGAGGAGGAGGAGGATGCGTTCTCATTCTCACTGCAGTTGTACCAAATCCAAAAGCGTGAGAGTAGCAGTATGTAGGCTGTCTAAAATAGAATGGCGTGGGAGAAGAAATCCTATGTTCTAAGGCTGTACGTGACCATGGTTGAATACAAGTGTCTTGGTTTTTTTCTGCTGATGTAATGGTTTACACAAGCTACCTTTGGAGTGTCTGGCCTTGAAAACGCACCTAAATTTTGAGAAGTTAGTTAAATAGTATGTCTGTGGGTTGATGGAATGCCATGGGGTGGGAACAGGTTTTTTTGTTACAGAAAACAACTGGACATGGTGCGAAGTTGTTAGTTATGTCTACTCTGTAAGAGTTAGGGAAGTGCTACAGGTTAGTTGCAACATGGGGAAAAATACCAAGTGAGGTAAGCAAGTGGCAATGGAAAAGACGCTTGTCATATAAAGGACCATGACTGCCCGTGGGTTTTGGAGCTCAAGTTATTCTTTGCTTTTCTTGAGTAACTTTTCTGAAACTATTTAAAGTGAGAGCTCTGTGAAAATTAATTGGTATAAGATAACTCGGCTCCATGATTTTGAAGTGGAGGGGAATAACTCCAGCCAAGTCATGATCATGTTATGCCCAAGTATTGCAAGTCAGAGCTTTAGACTGCAGACAGCTGAAAAATGTGGAGGTTAAGGGTCATGGGATATCTGCTTACAGTGGCCAAAAATTGCATATCTGAAGAGCTTGTCTGTGCGTATGTTGAGAAAGAATCTTAGTGGCATTGCTTACCAAAATTTCCCAAAGAACCCAAAAGAGTAAAACTGTTGTAAATACTGTGATTTAATCAAATTAACAGAGAAAGCTCTAGGGGTATTTTGGGTAAAGCTTTTTTTTTTTTTTTTTAAGCAAATAAGGCACTGCTAAGAAATCAGATTATTACTACCATTAGGGAGTTGAAATCTGATTCCCCCAAGCCATGCTTGCTTATCCCCCATCTCTAAATGAGTTCATCATTTTGCTTTTGTTTTTCATTTCTGTCTGCCTTTAGAGTAAATACACTGTGTGAGCAACATTTTTTCCGAAATGAGACATCATAAGGTTAAACACAACTCCCCATTTCTTGCCAGGGTTAAGCTTATAAACCAGACTTTCATTTCTGTATTTCCTGTTTTTTTTAATAAACTGAGTTCCTTAGAGGATTAAAAACAAGTGGGCAAAGGTGGTACATAAGGTTTTTCTGCATGTCTTTGCCCCCTTCTTCAGCACCTTTCCCCTCTCACCCCCTCAGTTCATGGGAACAGGGAAGATGGTTAGAGGCCGTTGTGGGAGTGGAGACAAGGCGGCTGTAAAAATACTGGAATACTGCAACTATTGGTCTCAATGCTATCAATAAATAATAAAAAAAAAAAACTTGAGGGGGGGAAAAAAATGTTAATGGCTGTCTTTATTTCACCTGTCTTGCATTTACAGTTTTCTGTAAGAATTTACTTAAGCAGTGCATTTACTAAAATGTCACTGTGATCGGTGATTTCCTCTAGGTGGCAATATTAACAAAGACTTGCATTGCTGAGTGGGCATTTACTCTGCATCTAAGATACGAGGAATATAGATGTTGAGCTAGTGTCACTCCAGAAGATACTAGTCTAGCTATTTAAAAGTATATACTCGTTACTTTCCTATACTCTCCTAGAGAAAGATTGAAACACTTGCAGTGGACATGTGAGCTCAGAATCCTTATAACAATTTCTGTATCAGCAGCGGGTGGGAACGTTGACACTGGGCATTAAGCAGATCTGAAGACACAATTAACAAAGGAATGACTAGAAATGAAAATTCAGCACTGCTGTGAGATAGACATTTTATTCTTTCAGCTACATGGAAGAGGGCATGTAGCCGCTGTAGCAGAAGGCCAGCCATGATTATTCAGTTCTTAAGGTGAAGAAAGTGAGTTTCAGAGGGTTATTTTGAAATGCGTTTTAACTTGGGGCATGACAATAATGTATGATTATATGTAGTTCTCTGCTGTCCGCCATGAATTAAATTTCCCAAAGACCAGCTCTGCAGAAAATAGCTGTTCTTAAAAAACTTACCTGTGTGTATGTCCTGTTCCTTGTGTGTGCTTAACAGTTACAGAACTCCCTTTTGGGGCAGCGTATACATCTGGGATGTTTGTATGTGCTGTACTGAGAGCGTGAAAGATGGTGCGGTTCCCTTGTTCCCTTCTCTGTCTGTAGCTGCAGATGTAGCTGTGATGGAATGGAATGGAATGGAATGGAATGGAATGGAATGGAATGGAATGGAATGGAATGGAATGGAATGGAATGGACTATTTCAGTTGTAAGGGACCCACAACAGTAATCTAGGCCAACTGCTTGACCCGTTCAGGGCTGACCAAAAGTTAAAGCATGTTGTTAATGGCGTTGTCCAAATGCCTCTCAAACACTGACAGACTTGGGGCATCGACCCCTTCTCTACTAAGCCAGTTCCAGTGTTTCATCATCCTCTTGGTAACGAATTGCTTCCTAATATCCAGTCTAAACCTCCCCTCGTGCAGCTTTGAACCATTCTTCTCATGCGTCCTGTCACTTAGCTTCTTCCTGTTACAGACTGGCCTTTAAGGGGTTGTTTTACCTCTTAAGATAAAATAATCTCGCTTTTCAGAGTTCTTTCCCCTAAAGAAAAAAAGAATACAAATCCTCTCTTCATCTATTACTTTATAAATTTTGAGCCTGTTGAGTCATTTGGTTGGCATGATAAAAGGAGTCGACCTCTCAAAGACAGTAAATTCCCATAAGCCATGAAGGTAAGCGATCAAATTAGGACATAAGACTATGTTAATCCATCATCCAATGAAGAAACTTTTTATGTCCCAGATGGGACAAGGGAAGGCAAGGAGAATGCTGATCCTTCCTGGCTGGCAGTTTTCTCTGACCAAACTGCATTTATTACGTTGGGTGTTCCATAAGAAAACCTGCAGCTGCAGATTAGGTACAGATTAGATCTGCTAAAATAACTACTGAATGAGCCGCCTTTTGCCAAAGGCCCTGAAAAGATGGGAGAATTGAATATACTGTCGTGGCCGTGTAAGGGAGATGGGAGGAAACTGTCTGTCATTGGTAGCATGAGACGTGGGAGAGAGCAGGGGACACGCCAGGTAGGACCTGAGTAGTTTTTGCACTGTAGTGCCATTTCTTATGTCTTTTTTTCTCTATCAAGGTTTGGGTGGTTTTGTTGGGTGGTGTTTTTTTCTGGTTTTGGGTTTTGTGGGTTTGATGATTATTCTTCTTCTTATTATTATTAGTAGTAGTTTGGGGTTTTTTTCAGATAGACCTTAGACATGTCTAATTGAAGGCTTTAAGAATTCTCCTGCAATAATACAAAATGGTAGGTATACAAAGTGTTACTTGTTTTGTGGAATTCCATAGCCTCAGCAAAGGCATTGCTATGTGGCCTTCCAGAAGATGCCAAATTGGAAGAAGTTCAACTGCAATTGTTTTTACTTGTTCATGTGGTCATCTGAGGATTTTTTGCTCTGGAATATCAATGTTTCATGTACCAGTCAGAAATCTGTTCTTCAGAAAGTTATGTCAACGTGACAGTACAACTGAGGACTCCTTTAGTGGTCCTAGGTTGCTGCTCCTCAAATACTGTGTCATTCCATCACACTGGATGTGGAAGTTCTCTGGAAAGACAAGAGTGATGGTGACTGTATTTGCATGGTTGCCAGATGTGCAGTTTACAGGAAATACTGACAGTCTCTTACGACCTACAAGAATTTGTAATTCCATTTTTTAAAACTCTTTTCTTCCTCCTCTGCATAAGGAAGCTACTCTTTGTTCAGTTTGAAATGGGGGTGGGATGTGACTCTGGAATTACTTACATTTTTGTGTTGAGTCTTAGACTATTTAAACAGTTGACAAGACCGGAATGCGAACTCAAGACACTTTCTTAATTTTGTCAAATTAAAAAAAGTTGTGAGGGTTTGACCTAACAAATATTAATCGCGTCTTCCACCACTTACAAGAATTGCTATTCTTTCTTAACTATCTTGCTTCAGTTTGAAAAATTTGGTCTCGTTTTAGTAGCACTAGTGGTGATGTTATTGTGGGGTTTTATAAATGTTTTTCTGAACTTTTCTTCCTTTTTGCCGAGTTTGGAAATGTGTAGGATAAAGCAGAAGAAATGTCCTGCTTACAGTGGCAGCAGAAAGAACTGCAAGTGTAACCCACCCACCTGCCAGTAACTACGCGGCATCATTTCTTTAGGTCATTTATGAACACTAGAAAATCATTGGGCGAGGAAAAATCTTTGTAATCCACGTAGTTTAACATTCTTCCTCTCTGCGTTTCTAAAGAACACTAAACCTTGACGATTCCTTAGGTAAGCAAGGCTACAAAGTCTGAAAAGCTGTGCTGCGTATGCAGCTGCTTGTGGTGCCCACTGCTGAGACCAGATCTATATTCCAAACTCTTCTGTGAGGGCCTGATGCTCTGAAACAGCTCGGTTGCAACCTGACATCCAGTCATGAAGCAGAAGTACCCCCTTCAGGGCTTTTAGAGAAGCTTGTACTAGTTCCACAGTAATGAAGTTTGGGTAAAAAAAAGCGAATATCCTGTAAAGACCTTCTGCCTTCTTAAAGTAATTACGTTTTCAGTGTTGAGGTATAGAGTTCTTAAGAAATACCGAGGCATCATACCAGTCCTGTAAGAATCTCTTTATTTGTGTCCATTTTTATTTAGCACATTACAACTTCAGCACAGACATAGAGTAGATGTGTGTACCAACATTTGCACATAAATGTTGTGAAGAAGACCTTAGGAAGAGCACTGATCTGTGGGGCCGGCCCAGTAGAGTTACCTGCAGGAAAGGACAACTTGCTGCAGAAACTCAGTCATTCCTACTTGCATCAAGGCAAATAACAAGATCAGATTCTGTTAACGACAGACAAAGGAGCACTGAATTTAGGTGCTGGTCAAGAAATAATCAAGTTGTAAAGACAAGAAGTTGATTTAAAGCCTGTTACATCTCTCAGAGAATGTTTTAACACTTAACTAGAAATGTTTTATCCCCATTAATAACAGTAGAACTGTTGAGTAGCATGAGAAATGAACAGTAAGTTCTATCTCTACTACAGACTTTGTTAGACTTGGAAAGCCTAAGATTTTTCAGCAGCTTTTAGAGAAGTAAGTTATGTAGTACTTTGTACCTAAATCAAATAGACTATTAAGTATCTTTATTTTTATTTATTACTTATTATTTCAAGAGGTGAAACTAAATTACACTGGCCACATGCTGCTATACACACAGTTGATTGATAGTGTTTAAAACACCACATTAGGATTTAGCATTGCTCACAGAAAGGTCAGTGACAGAGGAAGACAAGACAAGAAATTACACCACTTAAATGGTCAGTCACTTCAAACTTTTTTACTCGCTTACTCGCTACTACAACTTTGCTGTAAACTTTATCCTCTTCAGCTCATCCACTCCTAATAAAATGTTGTCATGGCATGATTACCTGTGCTATCTCCTTCAAATGACAAACTGCATGCTGTCCTACAGAAGGTGATGCACAGTAGGTCTCACACTTCCTCCTCCACATTCACAGCCCTAAGGGCTGTGCTATCCAGCTTAGAGCTCCAAATGCTTTCTCTTAACACACATTTACATCTCTTCTTACAATACCTTTCTCTCAAATTTAAAACTGACCTGCTAAATCACACTGCATGCTTCATTCTTTTGAAGTTCTTACATCTGAAAATTTACAGTGAATGTTTATATACCAACTTGTTGCAGAAAGCCAGATCTTCAAAAGTTTATTTTAAGATTAAATCTTTCAAATTTAATATTGTGGACCAGAAATAACTTTTTATTGTATCAAAAGCTTAAGCTTACCTTCTGCATGTTTTGTAAGGACTGTCATAGCATTACTGTGGGCTTTAAGAAACATCAGCATGGAGGTAAGAACAGAGAGACCTCAGTAATTCATGCTGAATTTGTTGAAAATACTGTGGCATGAAAGAGTAAATACAGATTCAGATCTAAAAAAAATATTCTTTTCCATTGATTGCAAAAAGCCTTTATCCCCTTAGCAACTTTGGTTGCATTATTACTGATTGGTCAGGAATATATCAACTAACAACAACAGCATCTCTATTCAGGAACTTCGAGTGCTCATGCAAAGTTGTTCTTAGTACAGTCAGAAAAGATTGCGGATTTTTATGAGCAGAAAAAGCTCATGGAGGTTGTAGTCCATCCCATTAATGATGGAGTTCTGGGGACTGACACCCAAGGCAGTTAATATTTCAACAGGACTTTAGGAAAAAGTGTTTGCAATGATATCACTCCTTAGCGAGAGGTGGTTTGTGCTTTTGAGTGTGATCTTAAAAGGCACTCTATTAACAATTTTAGATGACAACTTTATTTAGCAAGAGGCAAGAACTAGTACTTTAGTAATCTTGTGCTAATCTCGTGCAATTTAACGCACCCATTTCGGGCAAATTACTTCACGCTAATATAAGCTTTATCACTTGAATGAAGTTACTCTTCCCTATATTTAGTATCTATCCATTTAAGAATACACACACTGTACCAAATACTGTGTTACAACAAAACATGCAACAGCAAATAGTCTCTATCATCAGGTGCCTAGAACATGTAATTTCATCATTTACAACTGTATTGGTGGGGAATACATCCATTATGCCAACTCTTGCAGTAACTCCCTGTATATTCAAGAAGATCCATTCAGACTAGTATTTTCCTTATACAATAGCTTCATGTTACCAGACGCACCACAGTCAGAAGTGTTAAGAGTAATTACATACACAAAGAGACAACTAAAGTGCAGAGCCTGTGGGATATATACTTTTTATTTACGTTACTGCAGAAAGATATTACTGAAAGATTTCTTCTGCATGAAGATAGATAAAATATTTCCATTAAGCTTCAGATGCTGCCCACTGCATTGCTTTTAAATAAAAATGCTTACTTTCTATACAGACACAGCAAAGTAGTCAGCAAACTTACAACACATTCCTTTAACATATCAAAATTTTTCCAAGGCAATATTCGCAAAATTATACCACAGCTCCCAGTAACATCAAGCTTCATAAAGGAGGTGGTAGGGAAACTTTATCCAGTTAATAGTTTAAGTGCTCTTCTTTTCTTCACCTAGTAAGTTCACTGTTGCTTTCTTGGCTGCAGGAAAATAAAAGCAAGTTTAATCTTAGAGGCCTACTAAGTGGCCTACTCAGTGTTCTTGAGCTGCATAAAAAAAATAATTTTCCTTTTAGGTCACAAAAGAAACACCACAAAAGAAAATCACAGCTTTTGCATACATATACACCCAGACATAGTGATAGAACTGATTGTATAAAGACTTTAAAAAATAAACCATAAACAAGGAGCAGCACAATAAACAGCACAGACTGACTTACAACCATTATGCCAATAAAATAGAGCTGCTCACAGTGTTAAGGACACACAGGTTTACAGCAAGAAATATACTACCAAGCTGATGGAATGGGGCTGGAATAACACTAATGTGTGTGTGTACATGTATGTGTGTGTGGTGCCTGGTTTCTTAAAAAATACATATATGTGGAAATCTTTATACATAAAAATATGAAAAAGAAAGAATAAGTGATGGAACGAGGACAGAAAAATCCCACGTACAACATGGACGAACATTATTTAAGATACCTGCCTAACCATAATGATTCAGGAAGGGTCATGCAGCAAAATTTCCAAGCATAGTTGACAAAGGTAGATCATTTAAATACCAACAGGAAAATTGCCTAAGTTATAAGTGGAAATGAGGCTACACGCATTGTTTGAGGAGAAAGGAGACTTAAGGTGCTTTGAAATAACTCATAAATATATTTCTTTTCAACTTAAATTTAAATAAACCTTTATCTTGGCTACTTAATACTTTTCCTTCTCTTATTCATAAAACTATCATCAGACATTTTAGAGTATGACGATCCACTACAGAATGCAAGGAAATAGAAGCAAAGATTAGCAACCTACAGGCTGGGGTAATATTTATTCTGGCCAAATAAAAACCTGAGTAATTTCTTTATGAGTGGGCTCAGAATCCTCTGATCTCCAGAGGAAGGAGAAGGTACAAAAATTTATAGATGGGAAAACTCTGTTTCATACAGTGTTGTTTATTGGATTTGCTTTACTACACAACTGGTACCCCTTCTACACTACCAGGTATTTGAGACACTATTTTAGGAGATACAAGAATACACCGAGACAGTAACTGTATTTATGGAAGATATCTTGTGAAGATGTTTGGACCTGCCTCTAGACAGAATGTTTATAGTGATATAAACTCTGGTGGGAAGACATACAAACTAATGAGCCATTTCTTCCACTCACACAGCTTGCACTCATTCTAGCATAACTCCACTCCTAGAATGTAAGATCCACTGCAACCCTTTTTTTTTGGCATCTTCATACAAATTTAACTTCTCCATTAGAATTTACGTAGTTGTCTTACGGTTCCCCCCCCCCCCCCCGCTCAAGGATGAATATTAACTGTAATACTAGAGTTGCCCATGGAAATTCCTCCTAGTTGATGTAATTAGTGAATGATCTTTTCCTCACCTTCTTTAGTGATGGTATCTGCAGTCTCTGCAGCCTTGTCTTTCAGGTCTTTAACAACACTGTCGAGCTGAGCTTCATGCTTCAGAAAGAAAGGCCGGATAATTCGATGATAGAGAAACTCTGCCCCATTAGAAGGACTTGGAGCCATGCACCACAACAGGAAGCCACACTACAAGGAACAAGACCATCTGCGTAAGTAGAAGAAACACGTAGGAGACAAGGTGTAGCATGCCTTCCTAACTCTCCCACAGACTTGAGCATATTTAAAACAGTACATCATCCCCTTCACTTTGTATGGTCACAGTCCAATAACTATACACTTAAGTATAGTTACATACAGTGAATCTTAATATAGGAACAATTTCATGGATACTGATAGGATAAAGGAAGAAGGGCTGTAGCAGTAAAGCTAATCTGGTAACAGGTGTATCAAGATTGCATGTACCTTTTTTTTTTTAAAAAAAAAAGGTATATATATATAGGACTATAAAACCTGACTGGACAAAACATTAGTCTCTCTGGCTACTTCTAAACTATGTGGCACAGCCCTGACTGAAGGTCTGGGTCCCTAAGTCACTTAAATCCAGCCAGAACACATCCCTGTCCTCTCTGCCTCCCTGCTTTGAAAACGCAGCTGGGCAACAAATGGGACTGTATGCATCCCAGAGCTAAAGTGACAAGGTGGAAAGATAGATCCAAGCTACCCATAAGGCACAGACAAGTGTAATGCTTTTGGATTGAACAGTTTAGGTATAGCTTTTATAGCACAATTTGCTCTCTGGTGGAAAAAAAAACCAAACAAACACACACCACAGTTTGTGGGGTAATATTTATCCATTTTGCAAAGGGGACTAGAAAGACAGCTATTATATGTATTATAAATATCTGTCTTTACTACTGAAGCACCTTTATTAGGCTTCAGTTCCACTGCCTTACACAATACAAAGATGGCTATGCAAAACAAGATCAAAACATTTAGTGGACAGGAAGTGTCGTAACTAAATTTGCTTGAGTTCTGAAAGTATATGTAAAAAGATTTTAGGAGATAAAACTGCCACAAAATTAAGCAAACTTTCTCAGTAACTGTACAGTCGTTCCAGACACAAATAGTACAATATTATTCCGTGACAAAAGCCTCCCCAGAAAATAAAGGCAGAACAGCTTTTCACAGACTACCGTTTCTTAAAACACAACACAAAATGACCCCAGCCTCAGCCAAAATGTGCCTTTTTTTATGTTTTTATGTTAGATATGATTAATGTTTGAGTATTTCCACACATTTTTGGGAGGAGAGGGAAAGATGAAGAAAACAAAACAACAGAAACTCAACTCTTCCTCCTGAAAAAAACCCCACCACACCATTAGCTAAGTTAGACACCAAAATCAAACTAATCATTTAAACCACGATAAAACCATAAGCAACTTAAAACTGCATTTAAATACAGTAGCACTTATTTAAATAGTTTAGATTTCAGAAGTTTTCCAGTTTTCACAGCAGTATCTACAGCAGCTGAAGAGATGTTTCAATGCATGTGCTACAGCTTCTGAAAGTCATTTAAAAAATATAAGCAGTGTTATTTATTCATGAGGTTTCCAGTACGCTCCACAGCACAAAAGCATTTCCTAGAAACTAGTTTGATCATAGTATCCTTTTAGAATTCCACTGTACCTAGCCAGACATTTCTGACTCCTCTCCTTCACTTCATACTTTTATTTCCCACTGTAAAACTGCAAATTATTTTTTTCTGGTATCACATAAGAAACTCCTAAATAACAATTTTACCATTACAAGGTGATTTAAGTCAAGAGAGCTTATTTTAAAAGAAAGGTTCTGATTTGTGTTTAACAAAAAAAAAAAAAAAAAAAAAAAAAAAAGAAAAAAAAACCCTTTTTAATTTGAAAAAAAAAAAAAAGAGAGAGACTAAAATCCCTTTTGAATTGTGAAAAACAAACAGTTTTCTTCAGGCAAGCCTTCCAAGTATTTCGGAATATCTCCCCTCTCCTCCTCAGATAAGGGATCTTGAGAGTGAACATTCAGTAGGTTCTGCTCTTCATACGTGTAAAATTTTGGCTTTGTCTTCACTGCAATGCACACCACAGTAAAACTGATGCCCCTGACGTACATCAGTTGAAGGAAACACCTAGTGTTTTTGGAGGAGATTGCTACTCCTTTTTTCTTCAAGGCCACTTCTCATTCACCTTGCTGTAGAGAAAATTGGTTATGACATATTTGGAGCTGGAGATGTGTCTTGACAGGCTGCCTCTCTGCAAAGGATCAGTGATTCCTGGGGATAACAACTGCCTTCTACAGAAGATTTTGCCAAACAAATTTACCATCCTTTCAGGTAAGCTTTTAAGCTTTCTTTTTTAAACTATTTGACTGTCATGTCAGAACAGAATGACTTGAAGGACTGTTTTCCCAGAAGACAAAGAAATTTTTTTCAAAGTAAAGCGTCCACCACTGAGACTGCCTACCAGGATCATTCCAGTGATTTAAAAGAAATAATTCAACATGCAATAAAATTTGGCACCGGTAAGTAGCAACAGACACAGTATCATTAAGCACTGTCAGAAAAAATAACAGCAAAAAGTGACGGAATACCAATTTTCAAAAGCTTCTATTATTTGGAACTTAATATAACAGAAAGAATAAATGGTACTATCTTATGTTGTTATCTTTCATTAAAAGCTGAGAAGTATATTGATTTTATTTCCTGTTAAAGAACACCTGGCCAATTCCTGATAGTTATTTCACTTGTCCCAATATACAAAGACATTATTTAGTTCTCCTTTGTTTCAGGAAATCCCTCAGCTGTAAGTCTAACTTCCTCTGAAATTAAAAGAAATTGAAATTTCCCTTTTCTTGCCTCAGAACAAAATTAGTCATTTTGATTTTACAGCCTTGTCACAGTCTAGTCAAGAAAAAAATCAAATCTTTTACAGTTATAGATCTGTTCTCAAATACCTATTACTTCTGAAATGTACTGAAACAGATGTTTATATACATTTTCTAGAGGACACATAGCAAAGCTGCAAATCTCAGTCTTTTCAAAGCTTGAGAATGTCAGACTGCTAACTGTGTTTACCTTTCCCTTGTCTCTCTTGAAACTAAACTAACAGACTATTAAAAATAAAAGGGTTTGCCAAATGGTCCAGGAAGCTCAGAGTGATAAAATTGTTACCTGGGGAAAAAAAAAAAAAAACAAAACACTATATTCTTTGTGACCCTCCAGACCAGCCAGAGGAGGGAACAGATCTGGAGTGACTTCGTTAGGCAGAGACCTGAGCTGGGTCTGCTCCATTTGGGATCTAGTGCTAGCAGCTGTTCTTGCCCTGGCAGGACAGAACTGAACACTGCTGGGTTTGCCACTACAGCAATTGAGAAACACAGCAAGCATGCCCATGGCCAGTTCCCAGCTTCTACAGACAAAAGACTAACAAAACCCAAGACATGCCTCATATGACCGCAAATATGAACACACTCCTAATAGACAGCTACAGTCTTTAAAACAAGGCATTTGTTTTAACAGAAGTGAAGTAGTTCTTTATCAATATCAAAATCAATAATTAATTGCATGGGGTGCATGGTGGAAGGGAGGGGATCTCTGTCTTGAAGCAAAGTGAGACCGCCACATTTGGCACAATGACAACTCCTCCTGACTCATTTGACCAAGTGCCTTGTAGCAGCAGTTTGCATAACGCACCCAGTGTGACGTGTCTGCCAGTATTCTAATATTTCAAGACAGAACTGTTTGTAGCATCAGGACTCTCCTCTCCTTCCCACCACTGAGAATACTCCTAGGATGATAACCTCTGCTACTTTCACTGGCTACAGTATTTTAGCACCTGAATGCCAAAGAAATCTTCAAATAACTGACAGAAGTATTGAAAAACAGACCACATACACGTGAAATCATGAGTTGCATGCATGTCCTGTGCTTCAGAGAAAAAGAGCAGATAAATAAAAAGTAGGCATTACAAGAAAAACACAAAACCTAAGAAATCTTGAAACAGTTTTCAAGTGGAGAATAAACGTATATGCAAATTTCATAACATATTCAAAGGGGTTCCTGAACATGCCTTTCTCCCACCTATAAAAATTCCTAGGGTGCCAAAAACTATGCGGTGACAGAGCTTGGGCTCTGGAATTAGGCGAATATGGGAGAAGCTATGATCTGTATCTCCACCCTGCACATCAAGATATGTAGAAATACTGAGAAATACAACTCAGTCTGGAGTGCAAGATACAAGTTGTATCAAAAAAATGTGACTATGTAAATTTAGCATATTTGGAAAATGAAAGTGAGCTTGAAATTTGCATGAATGACATATCTGGGCTACTATTTCATAACATAAAAGAGACACGGACACATCATAAACTACACTACAATATATTTTAGTCATGGATGGAATGAAAGTTGGAAGCTGCCTGTTTCCTCCATGGAGTAACTTCCACCCTCCTACCCAGTCAGCAATGCTTTCTGATTCTCAGCCAACCCTGTCTGTCTGCATCTGTATCACAAAAGTAAACCTCTTCTACTACCCACTACTAAGAGTAAATACTTCTATGTGCCTTCAGTATCTATCGCAGAAAGCTGTGCATTTACCACAATTGCTTCCTTATGTTTGCTTTTGCTGAACCAAGAAAAGTACCTTTCTGTTGATACCACCACTACAGGTAAATGTGGCACTTCTGATACAGCATTATCAGAGCCATCTGTGATTGGTCTTTATTTGCTAGGTCAACCTGAATTGCAATCGCATGCTCTTCAGGAAGAGTGCTGTGCTGGCATGAAGAAATCATTGCCACATCTTTTACCACCAAGAAGTTAGAAAAGAAGCTCCAAAAATACACTGTATGAATTCAGAACTGCGAGCACACATCCCTGTGGACAATGGGTAAAATCATAATCCTGCTAAACTGTAAGGTGAAGTTGGGGATGTGAAATAACTGCGTTAAGTGGTTAAGAACAGATTCTTCCAGTGCCATACGCAATTCTTTTGGATCCCATTCAGATCAGATGAACTTGCACTTTGATCGCTATATGGCTTGTTTTTAATATATTGAAACAGCAAAACTATCACATATGTGTTACCCATGCTAAACTTCCGAATTAGCAGATTCTTCCTAAAAACTCTGCAAAACCATTAAGCTTAAAATGGAAAACATATTTTTGTTTTTCATTAAGGGAAAAAAATAAGTGTGTGGGGGAGAAAATTAACTTTGTGGGACAGGCCAGTATTTTTTTAGTTTGAAGCAGTAGTTTAAATATGTGCTTTTTCTTAGGGAGCTATGGAAGTGTCCAAATGATTACACAGCTGATGCCTGCTGAAAATTCAAAAGGAACAATGCAGAAGTGTAACTGAGCTGTCCAAGTCTCTTTTTGTCTCTAAAATTCAGCATTTCCTGGAAAAAGCATTTGGCAATATCAGACTTTACCAAATTTTAAATGACCCCACCACGACGGCTGGCAAGCAAATAAAGAACTTTGGTGGGGCTAAACCAGGCTAACAGAGGAAAAGAGAAGGAATAGAACAGTCCATTGAAAAAGAAAATAGGCAACAGTTCTTTAAGCTAAACAACAGGCTCTCCAGCAAGCTAGAATATCTTCTACCCCACAGCAGCCATGGTAATTGGCTATGTCCTAGAATAATTTAACATGTTGAAGCTGATTGACAATACATCACATCTTAGTTGACAAACAAAGTTTGGAACACAATAAGCAAACTGTTGTTGGTAGTCAAACCACACTAACAAATGCACAATAGCAAGAAGCTCCTCTGATACCTGCCTTTTCCTTTCAGGAAAGCAGGCTTAATTAAAAATGAAGCCTGTATGATTCAAACTGTTCTTATGTTGCAACTGCCTTCTTTGCTCCCAACAGCACATATGCTAATACTTCCTTTTGCTGCCTTTGTGATTTTACTCTGCACCTTCACTAATGCACTTAAAGCAAACATAGAGCCACTCTGTAGGGTTTACCATGTGCTGTCATTTTGCCCAAATTTACCTAAACGTCAAGACAAAGAACTGTCTTTCCATGGTACAGCTACACCACCTCTTTTTTCCTAAAACATGGCAGACCTTTCGCTGCCACCCATCCCAACTTCCCCTCTTGCCTCACAAAACCATCAGCTGTAAACAGATCACTTTCATAGTGCTAAATTACATGTAACCAGTATCTAAAAATAAGGTGTGACCCAGTAATGATTTCAAGGCAATCTGCTGTCTTCTATCCATTCTTGAAGACATTAAATCAGTTATATCAAAGGTCTCATTTTAGGAGAGGGGTTACATGAACTGACATACCTTTAGCATATAGTAGAAAGGGAACCAGGACAGAAATATATCAGAGAAGAATTCCACTATGCTGAAAACGCCATACACAACCCAGTAAGTCAGCCACTGCGTGTCGTCATCCTTGTTGGGACTTTCAATAGCCTTGATTCTGCAAAGAAAACAAAACAAGTAAGCAGATCAGTAGCATCAGTCTCATCTACAACGGTGAAGTTTTTATTACTCAGATTTGCTGTTACATGCGAATCCTCATCATTTAATTACTCTATAAACTCTACAGAAGGGAACTAAGCTGTACCTATCATACAATGCGCCCACGATCTCTGAACAGCAAAGCTTCTCCCTATTTGTCAGACTTCAAAAAGAAAAGACACTCAAGCTATTTATAGCTCTTTGATTATGGAAAAAAAAAAAAAAAAGGCAAACAAAACCCACAAGCATCCTGACCTTGTTCATGAGACGGGGAAGAGATGGGATTATCTTTGGCCAGTTCCAGTTCTGGATACATTGTGGTAATCCTGACCTGAAGACTATTGTAGCATCAGTGATCCATATAACAACCTTAGTGAGCCCAGGCCTGTGCTGCACATACAGACTGGCTTTCAGGCCTGCACTGTGCTGCACAAACTCCCTGGCCACAGGACAATCTCGGTCAACTCCCTGAAACACAGGATCCCACAGGCAGCTCCTGCTGTGTACCAGTGATTACACCACCTTCGTGCCCTTGTCTTTATCTAACAAAGATCTCCCTCTTTGACAGCAGGAACAATAAATAAGAGTTGTTGTCTTGCAAGACAAATCCTACAATAGCTTAAATCATCAAAACGGGGTAACCTTGTCTACAGATGGGGTTTGCACAGCGTGCTGCGTGCAGACTGCAGGCCCACTCAGTGCTGCACAGCTTGGGGTTCCCAGCATCTACAGGGATATAACATTGTCTATACTGTTCACTGTCTCCTTAGAGTGTAAGCTTTAATAAATAGCATTTTAAGTACAGCTTTACAAAATTCGAATGCCTTTCTTACTGCGATCGTAAGAGACCAACACCTCCTAGTATAAACAGAATCTAGATAAAAATTTTAAATCTAATTCAGGACTTTGAAGTGAATCTCAAATATCTTTACTCATAACGTACATGCAGTAGATTCCTCTTTGAGAAGGTAAGCCATAAGATTTGCTCTAACTACTAACAAGCACTTGGTCTACGGAAGCAGAGGAGATCCAGTATCCCCCATGCTGTACAGTGAGGACTGCATGTCTGCATCGCCAATTATTTTGCTCTGTAAATCCATTGCTACAGGACTTGCAAATACTGATGTAGACTATGGTATTAAAAATAGGGTGGAGCAACCTCTAATAAAGTCTCGGTCTTCCTGCATAATGACCAACTTGGTTTTTGTTCTCCAACTGCTAGAATAATGCAGTTCAAGTTTATTCAGTTCTGAAAACAGGAAGTTGAAAGAAAGATTCACATGTGCTTCCTTCAGTAGAAGCAACGAATTCAAGACTCTGGACTCACTAAATTCCAGATTAGCACTGTAAGAAGTTTTAGAAGTAAATGCTAGCACCTGTAAGCCTGATAATGTGAAGCTTAAGAGTATTAAAAAGCATTTGTCCTCTCCACTCATGCCGTAGGATTAAAATCTGTAGACTCAGTTTAATGAATTTAGTTTTAATTCTTTTATAACTCATTCCCTTAGTATCAGCTATATTGTTGCTGAAGCAGCAACTGTAGGATATATCAAAGGTGCAAAGTTTTCTTTTATTCCATAACAAAGTTTGAGAGTTAAGGAGGTTTACAAAACAGAAACCAGCTAGATGGCAGGCTGTGAGTACATTTCCTGGTTTGTGAACTGAGAAACCCTGCGGACTCTGTCACTTCCTAGTTCTGTAAACAAAGAAAAAAAAAAAAAGAAAAAACCAATCATGACATGCTTTAAGTTTTAGCAAAAGCACTGCGAAACCCATCACACGCAGAGAGAATTGGTGTGGCTACTGGATCGAATTACTTTGAAACACAATACTAGAATCTGATACTTCATTTATGCGTTATTTCCATTAGGGTTTGTGGCTGGCCAGCAGGGTCCTGCAACGGGAAGAACAGCCCTTGCCATACTCCATCATGCACAATAAGGCACCGTTACTGAGGTACAGCATCAGCACAACTAGAAGAACAGGTTTTTCACAGGTCTGCTTACTGCTGATCCTAAAAACACAGCATTAGACAACAGTAGTGCAGGCAGTCTGCTCTAAGGCAGTGCCAACTTCAGCTGCTCCTGCCCTCTGACTGTAAACCGCATTTTTTCTATGCCCCCACCTCTCAGGTATTCTAATACTGCCAGGTGAGGGCGCCCGACAAAAAAAAAAAAAGAAAAAAACCAAAAACCAACACAGAAGGTAAGGGAGAGGGCTACTGATCTATTTCTAATGTGTGAAACTGTACTTCTGGACAGAAAGCAAAGGCAGAAGTGACTAGTAGGGAAGTTAGAGTGGTGTTTGATAAATGGAGGAGACAAAGAAAGTAATGGCGAAGTTTCTCAGTGTCAAGGAAAACTTGCTGCAGGGGTTCACCATGTGAATTTCTCTGGTTCTCCTGACAACATTAGAGGCATACAGGGGAAGGCTTATTTTACCACAATAAGCATGCTAGTTTGTTATTTGTGAGAGAACGCTTTGCAGTGAAACCACTAACAGTCTTGCTGTTTTCCAGTCACTGCCTGAAGCCATCCATGGATTTAAGGAAGAACTGTTTACTTTTTGTTAACATTATTAAATTCATCTTAGTAAGCATGAAAATCAGTTTTCATAAAAAAGCTTAGATTCTCTGATTTTGTAGCAAAGGGCAGATGGCGTATCACTGTGTTAATGAAGCATGCTCTATTGTCTTCTCTCCTGTAAAAATAGATGGCCTTTGAGAGTTCCTAAATGCAGTGCCATGGTTGTGCTCCCCCTTGAACGTTCACCATCTGCTGCTGTAGTTCCCTAAGGTGATGCCTTGAAGGGAATACATGAACAAGACACTTTTGTGGTCAGTCAGTCACAAGCGGCAGTACTACAAGTAGTCAAAAACCCACCTGATTTAACTAGCTGACACGCAGCGTTAAATCCACATGTGGTGTTTTCCTGCACACTGCAGGAAACAGCATATTTCCCCTCTTCTAATGGTCTCATCTAGGTAGGTGCCACGGGACAAGCTCAGCTGGCAGACCCCTAACACATCTGCTAAGGTAACAGCTCTGAGGAAGGGCAAAACTGCATCTGCTTGCAACAACTCCAGTCCCAATCCCATTTAGTGGGAGGGAAGGAAGGAAAAAGCAGGATAGAGCAGGGCCATCAGTGAATGAAAGTTTTAACTGAAGACAAGGAAAGGCAAGTATTTTATAAATATTCTGCTTCTGAATGGGAAGTATGTTCCTCAGCTGAGACTGCCAGTGGAAACCCAGTCTAACATGCCCCTGTTATAGGAAAAGGCAAAAGTTATCATCTCCATTCTTTGCTACTTACACATTACTTCAACAGTCAGTCACAGAAATACTCCTTATCCAAGAACAAGTACAGTAAGTTACGTAGAGTATCTGAACGGATAGGTTTTTTATTCATTTACAACTATAATGCTTTCAACATGAGAATCCCACCCCAATTAGACTCATTCTTTTAAGTTACTCTGTAAGTTATCAGGCATTATCCTGGTGTAATGCTCTGCATAATTAACCTTCGGAGATGTATCATACACATTGCTTTCAGCCAAGAACATCTTATTCTTCTCCATTTTAAATCATGAATCAATCAGTGTGATATTCAAAATGCAATCTCCGTCAGTAAGTGAAAAGATATAGATCAAGAGGCACTGACAGTACAGCCAATTTTACGACAGCCTTCTTGTAACAGTTATTTGTAAGATGCAAGAGCAAATAAGACAGTATCATTGGCACATAACATTAACAAAGGAGCATCCAAAGCCTATAGTTTCAAATATAAAAAGCAGAGAGATACTGTCAGTTTCTTTAAAGTTTTTTCCAATAGTGATTTGACTAAATTCCATGTTAGTTATGTGTATTAATTACACATCACAAAGGATTTTATATGGCGGTTATACACCGTGGGAAAATAAGGGAAAATCCATGAGGAGGACTGCAAACACGCTCAAGTGACCTGCAGCTGCGGTGTTAACATATCACACTAATCACTGTTTAGTCTTGTGTGCTTGATAACTAGAACATCTGTGCTTAAATAACATAGGCCTGTGATAGACTCCGAGGCACACTACCACACATGCTTGAGATTCCTGCCCTGCTGTCAGAAAGATCACAGCCCAGTGGGAAACTATGCCTGCTTGAATCCCTGATATACAGGCAAGAACAGCAGGTTCATAACACTCTCTAGCAAGGACTGAGCTCTGCAGAGCCTGTGTTCCCACCTGTGTGCCTCTGCCTGGGTCCTGCTTCGGACATACCCCAGGTCGTGAGATATCAAGATTAAATTTACTCTTTGCACTTCATCCGTGGTTTTATGGTTGTTCCTGCAGCCTGCCAGTGTCGGCACACAGACCTGTAGAGGTCTTTAAATAAAGCCTCAAACATCTATTTACAGCAGTTCTACACATTGGAGGTAAGAGCAGTCACTTAGGAACAGCTTCCAGTAGACTGGATGGTAAACACCACAGCTCAGTTATTTTAAGAACAGATGCCTGTCAGCAGTGAAAATGGCCTGCCATGGGCCAGCACTGCAACTTGTGCTGACAGATGGTGAGCCAAGTAAAAACTTCATTTTTAGCCATACCTGCTCCCCGATAACCCCCCTAGTTGATGATACCAACAGGGAAGAGCAGAGGCTGCAATGCTCTCCAGTAGCCCAGGGTTCATATCAGCTATGTAGCTATAGTATCAGAGTACTGGCTCAATTTTGATTGTGTGCATCCTAGAATCAGTCAAATTGAACTCTAGATCATGTGTGGTTACTTTATCCTGTGACTTGATAGTCACAGGTCTAATTTTATTCAGTTGCCAAGTTAAGTTCTTTCACTTAAAGCATCTGACTCATTTCGACAAAAAAAAAAAAAAAACAAACAACCCAACAGGTCTTTTCCAATAAAAGACTGTTACACACTCCTGAATGAGCTCTGGCATTAACAAATCATTGTTAGAGTTAATT